AACCACATTCCCTTCTCACTGAGTTCTATCACTTCCTCTTCCAGAGGCCCTAGAACACAGGGCCCTGGATATGCTGTGGATATACTCTAGCATAAGGCACACCATGGTTAATATGACTGACATAATACTTTGATGCTCAACAAGACCAATGATGGGTTCCATGCTTACACTGCTATGGCATCTATGTGGATAACTGGAGTAAAAAAGGGCATGAAGAGACTGATGGCTGTTGCTTTCAAGCAGGGGGAAGGGAGGAGACAAGTGCCTTATGGGATGCTCCTGGCATGTACCCAGAACCACCCGGTGCACAGTTTTGGTCCCAGTGTGCCCTGGGAGCATAACCCAGAACACAAAAGGCTGCAGGGACTATGGGATAGTTCCCCCAATGCATCAGTCTCAGCGTCAATGGTTGCCACCCTAAAGGGGATGCGCCACTTCAAACTGCATTGAATTCTTACACACAATATTACAAAATTGGGAGCTAAACAGCCAACCATAATAAATTTGACCTTATCTCTAAGTTTGACCTAGATCTTTAACGCATATCACCTAGCAAGAAACTAACTGTTCACGGAACCAACAGCATCCAAAAATCTAGCTTTATTCTTTGCATTATTTTATATATTGGCCTCAATCTCTCAATCACTACTCTAGTCTAGTGGTAATGTTTGATTTGATTTTCTTTTTAATTCCAAGGAACATAAAGTTGTCCCTCCAGTAACTATGCAATGGTAAAACATTGCTATTTGGCTTCACACAACAACAGATCATTTTTCAACAGTCATTTTATAAAATAAGAGGTTTAAAAAACAAAATTTTATTGCCTTAAAAAAGGATTATCTTCAGAATTCTGAAGATCCAAACTCTTTCAGGCATTTAAAAAAATGTTCTCACATAAAGAAATACTACCAGCTTTCATAGTCAGAAATACTACCAGCTTTCATACCAGTATTTCATAGTCAGTTTACACAGTACACTATAATTAGTTGAGAGAGTAAGTATAGTATATTATTGCACAGTCACAACTTTCTAGGATTTTCTCAGTTTTAGGAAAGCATTGAAAATGTTTTCCATTTCCTCATTTCTGAAGTTAAAACAATCACACAGGTAGCCTCCCTTTGCCTTCACTGGAAATGCTCCCCAATGTTAGAAAATTCTGGAATTCAATATTCATCACAGCTGTTTTACAGACACAGTATGTCTGCTGTCTACCCTGGAGTGAAAACAAATAGCAGCCAGTTTGCTGGTCACACGTTCCAACTGGGATTTTGCCATCTGTCATTGTGTTTGTACAGCTATTTAGATTTCCAGTTCATACCAAACAAATTCCACCTACAGTACTAGCAAAACTTCAAACAGCAATAAGAGAGATTATTTAGCTAGAGAAATTTGTACTACTCTTACAACACATACATCTGTTCAGAGTTTTAAATATTGTTCACTATAATTGAATTAAAGGCTTCTATACTGGGGTCATATGTACAATTTGCAAATACTAATGAGCAATAAAAGTAAAAACTACTCATCTTGTCATTTTCTAGGATTGTAGCTGTTAACTGTGATTTAGCTATATTAGCTGTATTGATGTAGAAAGAATTACATTAGAGAGATGATAGTCTGTAGGCTTATTATAAAATTCTAAAGAAAAACAAAAGTATTGTCTTAAAAAAATCAATGTGTATGAACTTTTTAGTCAATGAAATTCTTAAAAATAATAATGCTGATGCTCACAGATCTGCTTTGTGTCTTTTAAAGATAGAAGAGGTGATTTATTCTAAGGTTTTCCACACAAACATAGACAGAAAAAAAAATAACAGTAAGCCAACAGTAGTTCTTTGTCTATGCATAGTGTCAGTGGATCCTGCAGGGAGTTTAGCCTTTTAAACAAAAGCAAACACATGACAAAAGCAAACACAAGCCTATTTGATACATATATAATGTCAACTATTCTTTCTTGGAAAGGAAACTTGGGCTTTTGGTTGCTTCCCTCCTTACCACCACAGCACTCCCACCCTTCCCCCAGCCTTCTGCAAAGCTGCCAACTCTCATTCTTTTGGAATGAGGCACTCTCATTTATTGTCTCAATTTCAAGCTGCCCGAGGCCTAAAATAAAGAGAGTCACAATTGATTTCAGTTGGATATTTAGAAACTCATTCAGATTCTTTCTAAGTTAATTAGATGATCACAAGTTGGCAGCTTAATAAATTTCCTGCTGGAAACTAGATTTGTAAGACTCAAACCAAAAATCTTCCAAGTAAACATTCTTCTGGGAGACAATATATCATACTCCTACAGCACTGAGCTGGAGTAGAAGTTATAACTAGAATGAGTTATAACTACACCTGCCTGTTCTCATGACAGTCATTATAAACAGGAGTCCATCTTATGACCAAAGAAATTATCCAAACAACTTAAATTACCTGCAAAAATGTTTCTTAATTTTTCTGTGGACTTTACTTCTGTAATGGAGCTTGAAGGGCTTGACTCTGAATTGCATCTGAAAGAAACAGAACAAAATAATAGATTCTGGGCTGCAATAGGGACAGCCTAGCTTACCTCAAACAATATTTTGTTAAGCATACATGCAAGCAAAAGGCATGTAGATGTTTATTTTTCTTTTTTTGCCAGCCAGCTAGCTAGTAGCAGACGGATTTTAAGGAGGATCCCAAAATGGCACATAAGGAGAGAATAGCCCAGAGGCACTAATAATAATTCGTATCCTCTTAACAGGCTCAGTGTTTCAGTCCCAACCACTGCTTCCAGGCCTCGTGATTGATAACATCATATGTGAGTAATATCAAATACTTAGGATACAAAGTAATATTTAGTTTTGCTCATAAATCTAGCTCACATTTGTAATGCAGTTCAGAAAAGTTATTGGCACATAAAGGAAGGGAGAAGGATTCTGCGCTGCAGGACAAAGTATATCCTGAGACATAATAAACTAGCATTAACTGAGCAGTAGAAAAACCAAGCTGCATTTGAAAAGCAGCACAACTCACAGTACCACAGAACTCATGGAGAAAACAAACAGAGCTACTGATTCACTGATAATGAATGACCTGCTCGGACAGGGATTCCAAAATTGCACTTTAGATTCAGCATCTCGATGGGCAGGTGTAATAAACAAAGAAGAGGCATCGACTTTGGTATTTCCCTGCGGATGCTGGATCCCCACTCTGGCTCAGACCCCACCCCCACTCCATCCATTCCCTCACCTCCATCTTCCCACCATCTCTTCGCACACCCTTTCCACCTGTTCCCTCCACCTCTTTCCACTCCTAATGCTTCCTCCCCCACCTCCCAGGACCTCCTGCATGCTACTGAACAGCTGACTATGGTGGGTGGGATGTGCCAAGAGTGATGGGGAGGAATTGATCAGCAGGGATTCTGGTGGGTGCTGAGCATCCACTATATTTTTCCCATGGGTATTCCAGCACTAGAGTACCCATAGAGACAGCACCTATGAAGCAAAGCAACCAACTGCACATGTTTTCTTTCTATCTGGGATTTTTGATGTGTAAATGGTAGAGCGCTGTTTATGCCTTTAGGGTATAGGATGGGTATTGTTACTGAAAGGGAATGTCTGCTAGTTATTAGAGTAGGGTCAGTCCTCTTGAGGGTATATATCTAACTCTCCTAATGGTTCACTGTCTGACCCTAGGCAAGTAACGTAAGCTTGTTTCAGTGACTCATTTTATCCAAGGAAATTTAAGATATTCTTACCTCCTGCAGAGAACTGTTATCAAGCTCATCTTTTCAAATTTCATAAGTGCACTGAGGTCCTAAGATGGAAGAGGTTAAGCCTATGGGTGCCCAGAGCCCGAGCTACGTAATAGCAGCTCTGTCTCACATTTAGGGGGACCTTGCAGACAGAGGTGATGCATAGCAGCTCCATACAAGCTGCTTCCTGAAGCTCAGGTAAGGGACACTGTCAAGGAAAGGAGGGTGAATAACACATTCATAGGCTCAGCCAATCCCTAACTGTTGGATTAGCCATTAGGGCCACTGATCGCCAGCAACAGTTAGAGCAGACTGTAGGATGCTGTAACTCTTGCCAGGATATCAGCCCAGCCCACAAATAGCTCAGAACTCTAAGAGGGCAAAGGCAACCATCCTGAGCTGTGTTGTATACTCATTAGCCACAGGTGAGGGTCTTGCTGTATTTTACAGAGGAGGAAATCAGCCTTTTCTTTTCACTGGGATAGCTGCTTCCTTTCCTGGCATTGGGCCTTGGAGCATTAGGAGTGAGGTGAGTCATGCTGATGCCAATGATGAGCATTTAGATTTCATGGCAGTCTCATTGTTAACAGATATTAAACAAAGGGCTGGAAGAGAGCTCAAGGGAACCCCCTCATACAATCCTTTTCAGAAACTTACAAAGCTCCATCTTAAAATGTTTACTCCTCCTCCTATTGGCCTTTGGAAGCCACCATCACATCCAACATAGCATGTTTCCCTATATATGTGGGTCTTTTATTCTCTGAGTAAAGAAAAACATACAAATATTTTGGTCATAAAGCTAACCAATCAAGGGAAGGGAAATCAAGCTCAATACATCAGCTGCCATATATAATTTTAGAGCTGACTACAAATTTTACAGATTCCAAACTGGCAAAACATGTTTTGTGAAAAGTTTTATTTTTAAAATAGCTTTTAGATCTTATTTATACACCCACTAGACAGATGCAGTTACCTACCTAGCCACCTTGCATGTGTATTTCCACACACACAATATATATATTTACTTACACAGATGTAAGTAAAAAGATAATGTAACCAGTTAATCTGAGCCTCTTTCTATCTGTGATTTTCTCATGTATCTTCTGTAATTACCTCAAATGTATTGATTATTGGAAAGATTTCAGCAAAATATGTTTGTAAACTTTCTGTACTGACTGTAACCTATTCTGTGAAAATGCTGTATTCATGGTTTGCCATTCAAGCTGTGATTTCACACATAATTCATATATCACTATTTCCTAACTGAGTGAGCAAGCAAGCACCTGAGGTATAAACACCCACAAGCTTCACTATTGTACAAGAATTTGGAGGTGAATTTTACCACGTGCACATTTGAAATACAATAGCTATGAATACTCACAAATACAAATTCATTTTCCCCTGAACATTCCTGGCAGTACAATTTCAATGAATATTCATGGAAAGTGAACACAAAAACAGGCATGTTGGGGGGAATTATTTCTGTGCTTGTTTGATGCTATCATTGTATATTATATAGAGAGCATGTGACAAAGAGAGAGTGCATGTATCTGCACGGTATGTACAAAAATGAGATTACACTGAAGTTATTATCCGGTAAGAACTCATATAATCAATTAAGGAGCCCACTCCAAAATGGGAAGTTTACAGTTAGAGTATGACTTTAAAAATTTAAGATACATGTTTCATTTGACTCTGGCAAACAATCTCTGATTCTAAAAGAAGGACAAGAATTATCATTGCATAACGCAGGAGTCTATTTAGTTAGAAATTTCTATCTTAAATTAGTTTCTGTTGAAAGTCAAGAAAAAATAGTTTAATTTAAGAATTCTGAAGGACACAAATGTTAAAAAAAGAAAAAGTGTATAGGTTTTAAAAATATTTACTCTCCGCCACCCCATCAGTCACCTAATCCTGATGGGTTAGGTAGCATGTGGTGCTACTGAATATGCTATTTACTACAGTCTTGCCTGTGATATCTGAGCTATTTTAAGAACATTTGAGGTTGCAATCTGAGAGGCAGGGTGACAGATCCATGTGCACAACTGGGTTGCATTTATTAAGAGGAGGAATTGGGAACTCTTAATGCAAAGCAACTTAGTAGCTAAGATGCATGGTTACCTCTGTCTAGCCTTAAATTCTACATTCTTCACCTAACCCAGTAAGATCAGATCAGAAAACAAGCATGTAAGATAACCCTCTAGTACACAGAGCACACCATGGTGCAGCAGAGTAGCCCATTTGTTGGCACCTCATAAATTCCAATGTGCTGAAAGGAGCAGTGACAGATGGTGGCATGGGGGAGCCTGCCTTTTTAGATTTGTGACACAGGGACCATTTTACAGGGAATTTTTTAAATCAGTTTGTATCTTTTATGGGTTATGGGTTAAACTGCAGCTCAGCTGAATTTGATTTAAAGTTGAAATAGAAAAGGATTCAATTCCAAGCCCTCTGCTGTAGGACATAAAAAAAAAAACTTGGTTTGAAACAACTTGCTGTAATGTATGCCCCTCTCCAATAAAAAGAATAGCTAGATGCATGCACTTCATTTTAAACTATTGGAGCTAAACATGTATTTTCAAAATCCTATCATGAAATCCTGGCCTCACTGAAGTCAATGGCAAAAATCCAATAAGGTCAGAATTTTACCTCTCACCTATAGAGGATATAGTGGACTCATTGGCTGAAATATATGCACTGTTGGTTATTTCTTTCTTCCAAGAATCTCATTTTGTTATGACAAATTTTATGTATTTTTATTTGTATTAATACATGGAATGGAAAACACACATTCTTGGGGGTGGGGAGAGCAAATGCCATATGGATGCTATTAAGCTGCAGGTTGTTACTTGCTTTTTAGTCTTAATCCTGTTCAATTTCTGTCCCAGAGAATTATTATTTCAATCTTGATGTTTTCAACCTGTTCCAGCTTCTACGCATCCCCCATTCCCTTGTCCATACACAGATTCCCTCCCATCACACTAAGATCTAGCTATAGTTGTCCCATTTAGCACTATGTAATCCCATAGTGAACCCAGGATATTCAGCACTGTATAGATCCTTAGAAGTACTGAATGCACTCAGACACGTACAGGTAAACATTGTGATTAATGCTATTAAACATTTTAAATAGATATTTGTGGTACATAACAGAGATACCACCAGTGTGTGACCAGTCATCTCACAACAGAAGAGATACTGAAATCAATACCCTCAGGTGGGTCAAGTAACCAAAGGCTGGCACTTGGGGGCTAATTCCTCCAAAGCCAGTCCAGGCTCATAATACAATATCAACTACCTAATTCCAATGGTGTATGGATAGTGAAATACCAACCTTTCCTGCTGGCTTACAAAAGTTAGGATGTTTCCAATATTTATGAGAGAGGTTCAGTCCCAGCTTAAGCAGCAGCTGCACTTGTGCACATTTTAATGTTATTTCACAACTCATATCTTAAAAAGCATGGGAGGGAGGAGGCTATATAAACACCAGGTGCAAAGCACCCTCAGCTCCTACTGACTTCAATGAGAATCGAAGCATTCAGCACTTCACAAGCATGCTCAGCACCACATAGGATCAGATTTTAAAAGAAATGACACCCCCACAAATGTCTGAAAGACATTTCATAGAACATTGGATTAACAAAGACCATTTGTTTCAACCAAATGCCCTGAAACTGCTATTCTGCTTGCTACAAACTTTTAAGTACATTCATGTGGGAAAAGCAACATCACTAGCAAGTGTGCCTCTATGCTGCATACCAAAACACAGACATGTAGCACAACAGGATGAGAATCTAATATAAATTAAGAGCTCCATTCCTAAAATATTTATAGACAAATGTAAAATGGCACACACAAAAAACTTAGCAATACTGTAAATGAAGGTCAGAAAAGTACAATTGCTCTTTTATTTGTAACCACAAACCAGCAAAATA